TTTGGCGTAAGCGGCAGGAGAGGGTGTGCTCCAAGAGCCGCGGCTCCCTGCTGTACAAGCAGTACGAACACAGGGAAAACAAACACGAAAACAACAGACTCTTATCCGGGGCAGAGCATTAGCAATCCCCACAGAGATATCTTATGATCTGCAGAGCCATCAGATGCATCTCATTTCAGCTTTCCAGCAGCCACCCTTCCCAGGCAGGGGCAAGGCGAGTGAAAACCAAGCGCTTTTGCAGGCGGCTTCAGCGAGCGAGCGGAGCCAGCGGCTCACTCCCCCAGCACGCGATGATTTCAGAGTTTCCTTCGATAAGGACGCAGAGGAGGCCAGGCAGGAGCCCAGATGAGTCACACGCAGCGCAAGGGGAAGACTCGCGAGCAGCTTACGAGCGATGTGAAGCAGGTCAACATGGAGAGGAACATGCATCCCTCCTGCTCCAGGGCTGGGAGCCGCGGCTGGCGTGGACGTAGCCCGGGCTGTGCCAGCTGGTACCACCTTCAGCCCTGGGACAGCCCAAACCCACCCGCCCTGCGGAGCACCATCAGGTGGGCTTCGCCGAGAAGTACCCCACCTCTGCAAGCTCCACATCCCACGAGGACTCAGGGGGGGTCTGGCTCTGTGCCTCCACCACAGAGGGTCCCCCGATGCCCTGCAGGTCCCCAGTTCATCATTTGATGGCACAAGAACAGGTCATGTCCCTTGTTCTCCATTTTCACAGCTACAAGGCTTAGTAAAATTAATAAAATTACTCTTGTTTTAAAAATATCTAGCCTCAGCATTTCATAATTGGTCTTGGTTGGAGGAACAGGATAAAAAAAGGAGTTGGAACAGACTGCAGAGGACAACCAGAATTCTGGGCTTTACTTATATTTATAAACTTTATCTCAGGCTATTCAGCTCTCTTATCCTTGTTTGAGCAACTCGTGACTACACATTCACCTGCATGAAGAATGTGCTGACAAAAACGGAGAGCAGCCACAGAGGCACTGTTTGAACGTGCCCCAGAAAGGAAAAGCCAACACGACCCGGGGATGGCTGCTCCCGAAGGAGAGGCTCAGCTCACAGCGGTGAGGAGTCTGCAAGGCAAAACAAAAGCCAATGCAGAAAAGTCCACCATCACCAAACCAAAAATGAGAAGTTTCCGAAAGCTTTCTTCTTCATACATATCAGAAGCTCAAATAGAAAGTTTACACTTTTGAAACACTCACTTAATGTTTAGTAAGAAAACTAACTG